AAAAAAAAAAAAAATAGCCAGGCATGGTGACACATTCCTGTAATCAAAGCTACTCTGGAGGCTGAGGCATGAGAATTGCTTGAATCTGAGAGACGAAGGTTGCAGTGAGCCAAGATCGTGCCACTGCACTCCAGTCTGGGTGACAGAGAGAGACTGTTTCAAAAAAAAGAGGCTGCAGTGCTCACTTTGGCAGCACGTATACTAAAGAGGAGGCATATGTGAGTGATTGTTTACTATTTTTGGAATGAGAGTTGTGTGGGAAAATAGAAATATCATAAATGAAAGCCTCATCTAAATTTAGTTATTGTAGTTGTCAGTGCCCCCTAGAAGTTGGGGGTCCTTTCTTCAGATCATTATGTTGCTCTCATTCCCCATTATTGCTCCTGGAGATTAAATACAGAGATACAGAGTGAAACATCACTTTTTATTTCTTCTGAGTATCTACATTCAATTGGTTTGCCTAAATTAACAAAAACACACAAATACATATGGTTTCTGGTGACAGGTTATCTAAGATAGTGGGGGACATGATCTAAATGTGCACAGGCAAGACTCGGTCTCCAGAGGGGTGGGCAGGGGGCAGGTAGGGGCTGTCTGATCCCCAGAGCAATGAAGTCTTAGAGCTGAAGCCCAGCTCCTCCTTTCTAAGAGGAAATGATGACCCAAAGCCTCCTGTGTTTGTTTGAGGTTCTAGCTTATGGCCCTGTCAGATCCAGAAACCAGGCATCCCGACTCCCCGTCCACTGCCCCCAACCTGAAGCCCTTCATCCTTCCTCTTAGCACCCTCTCAGGGGAACAGGGGCATAGGTATGTTTACAAAAGACCAGAATGGGCCCATATTTTGGGGAAATAGAGATTTGGGGGTTTTAATTCCTCATATAATAGAGCAAATCAGTTCTATTTCCCCAGTTCTAATCATAGGGTATTGTTCCAGACTCAGTTAAGAATTTGCCAGAGAACAGACACTCCCAGTTGACAATCTGTGCATTGCTCAGCTGTATCTTCTAATCAGCAGGCCAGCATTTCCTACTAGCGCTCAGCATCTGAGCTGCATTATTTACTCACATAAGTGCTTAGGATGGGTGATGGACAGGAAAGATGGGAGAGGGAAGGACACAGGGCAAAGCTCATACAGGAGCACTAAATTGGGATGGAGGTAGCTTGCTAAGTTTAAAATTAAGACCTACATTAAGACCACTTCTATGCACATGTTCAGTTACAGGGCTCAGCGGTTACACCAGGCGCCTACGGCTGGAGCCTCCTTGGCACGAGCGCCCCATCCGAGGCACAGCTGCACTTCTGCACCCTCATGTTGGGCAGGCTGACCACCTGGGGCCTGGTCCTGCCTCCCTCCTTGATGCTGACAATCATGGGCAGTGAGGCAGTCTCTGAGGCAATGCACTGTCGCGGCCCCAGAACCGGCCACTTGAAGGCCAGGGCCTCCGGGGGCTGCTGGCAGGTGCCCACACACTCATAAGCCAGGAAGCCCGGGGGCTCCAGCACCCAGTTCTCCGCCCACTTCATCCCCTGCAGGTCAATGTACATTTCCTGGCGGCAGCAGCGGGTGCCCTCGGTCACTGGTGCTTCAGGGTCACAGTCACCCTGAGCTCTGTGGGGGCAAGAACAGGCAGGGTCAGAGTTCAGCTGTGAAGACTGAGGTCAGAAGGCCTGGGGTACAGCTTAGTGGGTGCCTGGCAGGGAGATTTGTGGCCCAGCTCTCACTGTGTTCTAAAAGCTGGATATTTGTGAGAAGATGAATAAGCATATCTGAAACAGAAATAATAAATCAGCTACTATTAAAGGTCTCCTAATAGGCCAGACATTGAACTAGGTACTTCACATGTATTATCTCAGGTGATGTCTGCATTTCATCCTCAGTTAGGTTCCACCATGATCCCCATTTCACCTGAGGCCACTGAGACCCAGAGTGTTCGGTGATGTGCCAGAGGACCTGCAGCCAGCAGAAGGCAAAGCTAGATGGAAGCCAGGACTAGTTCCAAGGCTTCTTCTTAACCACTGTGCTACACAGCCCCCGTCTGCTCCAGAGAGCTAATTTGTCCATGAGAAAAGAATTCATCAAAGCAGGAGGAAAGCTGTTCATCCTTAGCAACAGCTAAAGGTAGGATTTTTCAAAGACTTAATCATGGAGAAGGGTAAAGTGAAAGTGGATAATTACAATTGTGTGTATATGAGTCAATGGCAACATAAAAATCCATTAAAAATTATCAAAGATATTTTTCAATAAAATGAATAATACAACTTCCTTCCTCCCTCCCTCCCTCCCTTCCTCTCTCTCTTCCTTCCTTCCTTCTTTAATAGAGATAGGGGTTTCACCATGTTACCCAGGCTGGTCTGGAACTCCTGACCTCAGGTGATTCACTGGTCTCGCCCTCCCAAAGTGTTGGGATTACAGGCGTGAGCCACCGTGCCTGGCCTTTTTATTTATTTATTTATTGTTTTTGAGATGGGTTTTGCTCTTGTTGCCCAGGCTGGAGTGCAATGGCGCGATCTCGGCTCACTGCAACCTCTGCCTCCTGGGTTCAAGCAATTCTCCTGCCTCAGCCTCCTGAGTAGCTAGGATTACAAGCACCTGCCACGATGCCCAGCTAATTTTTGCATTTTTAGTACAGACGGGGTTTCACCATGTTAGCCAGGCTGGTCTGGAACTCCTGACCTCAGGTGATTCACCAGTCTCGCCTTCCCAAAGTGTTGGGATTACAGGCGTGAGCCACTGTGCCCGGCCGGAATAACACAATTTCTACCATTAGAAACCCTGACATGTAATGGACAATCGGTGGCATCCTGGGACAGTATGCACCGCTCTCCTCCCCCGCCCCCGCCCCTACCCACCCCAACCCAGCCATCCGGTCACCCAGCCAGTCCTGGGGACGGGGGTCTGGACCACCCAGTGGCTGCTTGTCTCTGGTCTCCCCAGTCCGGCACTTACCCGTAGTCCCTGAGGTCCAGGGTGTGCAGCTCCAGCTGGGGCTCCCCACGTCCCGCCGGCGTCCCCTGAGAGGCGAAGCGGACCAGCCTGTGGGCTTCGGACGTCCCCGGGCCCAGGTGCTCCCTCTGCACCGACACCTGCAGCAGCAGCGGCTGCCGGGACCGGCTCAGCTGCTGCCAGAAGTTCACGGCCTCGGTCACGTCGAAGGCCTTCCAGCCGCTCTCGTGGACGGACACCAGCCTGAGGACACGACACACGCGACACGGAGACCCAGCGCCGCGTGAGGGCGGGGACTGGAACCCGCTGAGGACCCCGCGCCGTCCCGCGCGTCCCCGCCCCCAAGCCGGGCCGAGCAGCCCCCTCGCCCTGCCGTGCGCTTCCGCGCGACCCCCACCTGGAGTCGATGAGGGAGGTGCGGTTGGAGCCGTCGTCGCGGACGCTCAGCCACTCGACGGTGACCCGGGCCCGGTGGCTGCGCGGGGACAGCTGCCCGTGCCTGTGCAGCGCGGCCCTCGGGACCGGCTCCTGGAAGAGCCGCAGCACCGCCTGCACCAGCTCGCGGTTGGGCGGCAGCCGCTGCTCCATGCTGAACACCAGCAGGTGCGTGCTGGCCTCGGACGCCAGGAACCTGCCGGCCACCTCTGCGGACAAGAGCAGGGTCAGCGGGGTCAGCAGGGCCTCCCTGGACTCCAGGGGAGCTCTGAGGGTGACAGGGCCACTGAGCTGGCAGCCAGTCCAGGAGACACAGGTCCCTGTTGTATCTCTGGGGCAAAGCCAGTTTAAAAATCTCCCTTGAATCTGGGCCTTGTTTAGTAACAATCTCCATGTGGCAGGCAGGGACGCCTGCGGGACCTGTGCTAGCAAGGCTGCCGCAGCTGAGATGCTGGGAGCAGAATCCTCACCCAGGTGCCTGGCCTTGGGTCTAGCTCTGGGCACTGAGGAGCTGGGGAGGTGAGAGGCTGCAGGAGGATTCAGGCCCAGGTGCACCCCTGATAGCCAAGTATAACCCAGGTATTTCACGTAGGTATTTTTCAGTTATCCCAACACACTTCTATCCACAAGAACTCACTTTGATGCTAACAAAGCTGGGAGATGGCTAAGACGCAGTCATACCCCCGTTCCAGAGGAGCACATGGCAGAGAGAGGGATTTAAAGCCATTTACTCAAGATCAGGCTCAGACCAGAGTGGCAGTGTGAAAACAGACCCGGGAGTCCAGCTGCACCAAGCGCTTTGAGGCACACACTCAGCCGCTCCCCCAGCTCCTCTTTTTCTCCTCTACCCTCCCCTTCTCCCATGCCTTGGTTTCTTCAGCAGGTCCAGCCTGGTGCACCTTTGGGGACAAACGGGGGCCCTCAATGCACAGCTGGAGACCCTGGGCCCAGGCCCGGCTCCTCCTCACTGCCCTTTGCACTGTGGCCCCCACACAGCCTCCCACTGAGTCCCAAAAGACCAGGGGCCCTTTAACATTACTGGAGTGGGCACGACCAGCCAGCCTTCCACCATGGGACTGGGGGCAGCAGGGAGGGAGGGCCTCACCTCGGAAGCTCTGGCTGAACCTCTTCCCTCGGGAGCGGTCCCTGTGGCTGCGCTGCAGCAGGGCCACGTACTGGGCCCTCACGTGGGCGGGGATGGCCAGCTCCTCCATGTCGGCCCTGTCCAGGACGGGCGCCTCGCTGAGCTGCAGCTGTTGCAGCAGGCTGTCCAGGAGCTGCTCCCCGGTGAGGGTTGCCCCGGGGCCAGCCAGGGGCAGCACCCAGAGTGCCCAGCAGAGCCACAGGAGCTGCATGGTGCTGCCCTGGAGGAGTAGGGGGCAGAGTGGGGCTGTCCTCTAAGGAGGTGGAAGGAGGGTCTCAGGCAGCCGGGTGTGCTGAGAGCCAGGCCTGGGCAGCTTTATAGCCAGCCCTGGGCTGGCCTGGGGTAAAGGGAAGAGGGAGGGAGGAAAGGAGGGAGGGAGGCAGGGAGGTCACACCCCTGGGACCTCCTGGGAGCTCACAGCCAGACAGGTCCCTGAGCCTGGAGGAGGGGGCTGTCTAGAAAGGACAGGGTTGTCTGATGCCACCCAGGCTTGGGGCCTCTGGCTGTGCTGTCAGCAGCTCAACAATATTTTTAGTGCCTGTTGAATTTCCCTGTCCTTACCCCAGCTCTGTTCCCTGAAAAAGTGAGGCTGTTTGGTGAAAAAGAAAGTCCTGCTAACCAGCTACTTAAAGCTCTTATGTCTCTCCTGGAGGCTGGCCTGGGTCCAGGTTTGCACATCATAAAGGAAGGGCAGGGAAGACTCTGCCTTCCTGCTGGTTCTGGCCACGTTCACAGAAGCCCCTTGGTCACCTCCCTCCAACCTTCAGTCCTTGCACACCCTCTGCCTCTCCCTGCACCAGGGGTCCCTCAGGGTTGTCTCACTGTCCTCGTCCTCCCCCCATGACAGAGGATGCTAGACGCTGTCAGGACACAAAGGCACGTGCCACCGTGTCCTTTAATGTCTTTAATGCAGCTGTACTCTTTCTGGGACTCCCAGAACAGCAATTTCTGCGAGTACCTTTGCAATCACATGACCACGGCATGGGAGTCTCCCCTTCAGACAGCAGAATCATTCTGGGTTCAAACATGAGACCTGCTAACTGTTTGACCTGTCAGCCAGTTATTTAACTTCTCAGTGCCTCGGTTTCCCCATCTGCAGGAAGAGGGTGATGATCATTAGGTCTTCTTCACAGGGTTAGGAAGAAGATTAAATGCATTAATACATGCAGGCCACTCCACCCAGTATCTAGTGACAGGTAAACACTCTGTAAGGGTTTCCTATCATGATTAGCCCCTGAAGTCTGCGTTCACAGGGTCATGACTTTTTGTAAAACTATCAACAACGATAATAGCATACATTTCCTGAGTGCTCACTATGTGCCAGTCATTGTTCTAAGCTCAGAATGTGTATTCACACAGCCCTTAGGAGGCAGGTGTCAGCGTCAGTTACATCTCTCAGATGGAATGTCAGAGTACAGCCTGAAGAAGCGACCTCCTCACGAACCTCAGTGGAGGGCTTGGGAGCTAAATGCAGCATCTGTCTCTGTAGGCATCTCCTCCTGGCGCTGGCATGGGGCATTTGAGGATGTGCAGGGGCAAGCTCTTAACAAATCTCCACAGCCTCACTTGCCCATGTTCTGTCACATGCACGGTAAGCAAGGATGCTGGAGGAGGACAAGGACCCTGGGCTGAGGGGGCCGGTGGTCAAGGAGCATCCCCCTTCACTTTCTAAGTGGGGGCACTCTGGCTCCTTTGTGGGAATGCTGTGTCACTGACAGGTCTCTCATGTCATCCCCCTGCTTCTGTTCTCAAACATTCCAGGCAGAGGAAGAGGGAATCTTCTGGTGCTCAAAGGTGGAATTTCTTTTGGATGAAAGCCCAGGGATTTCATTCACAAATTGCCACCATATACATGTGCATTTGCATATGTATATGTATATGGAAGTCTCATATTTGAACCCAGTCTAAAATGTGTGTTTGAGGAGGCATGGGGGAGGCTCCCACCTCAATTTGCCCCCAGTACCTGTGGCTTTGGACAGGCCATGCTTCTAGATAGCTCTGGCCTCTGCTTTCTAGGTTCCTGTCCCTTGTCTGTGTCTGGAAATGACCTGGGCTCCAGCTGAGTCCTGGTGGCATGAGCCAGTCTGCCAGCAAAATGGGGAAAGCACACCCCAGAATGATTCTGCTGTCTGAAGCGGCTTTTAGTAATGTGTGTACTGGGGGAGTGTTTAGCATCAGGGAAGGGGGAGGAATAAGAATAATACTGATGGCCGGGCGCGGTGGCTCACACCTGTAATCCCAGCACTTTGGGAGGCCGAGGCGGGTGGATCACGAGGTCAAGAGATCGAGACCATCCTGGTCAACATGGTGAAACCCTGTCTCTA